CAGCCCCACAGATCCACAAGCACATAATAAACGCTAAAAGAAACTGGTCTCATCCTGCTCACATCTTGAAAGCAGACCATTTTCTTATTTTGAGAGGGAGTCACATGCAAGTCCTCCACTCATGGGCAACTTGTACGTTACTCCCAAGCTCTGAAAAAGTTACCGGGAAGTCGGTCAAGTCTCTCCCTCCCCTGGCCGACAATGCACAAAAGCGCATTCAGTCCAGTCACGGTGGAGTTTCATTCACGTTCCTGCAAGCCGGACGCAAGAGAGATTTCCTTTTCTTTTTCGGCATACTTAGTGAAAAAAACTCCAGACCCACAAAAACTTTCTCCCCGTCAGGGGGAAATCTTTTGTCTTCCTCACAACGAACCTAAACACGCTCTCGGCCTCCACATCCCCGGGAAAACGGTCGCGCTGGGAAGCGCAGGGCACGCGTGCCCCAGGAGCGCTCCCGTGCCGGGACTGCCGCGCCGCGCCCGCCGCAGCCTCCCGGGCAGCGCGGGCCCGTCCCGCCCGCACGGGGCACGGCCCTTCCCGCTCCCGGCGCTCCGCACCCACGGGCAGCGGCGGGGCGCGGACACCCCACCCCGTGCCCGCGGGGCTGCGGGAGCCGCTGCCCGCCGTCGCCGCGGCCCCGCCGCAATCACCAGCCGCGGCCCCAAGACGGAGCCAAAAATAAAGTTTTGCGCGGGCTCCGCCGGCCCCGGAAAGGAGCAGAGTCGGCGAGCCCACCGTGCCCTCGGCACCGCGCCCCCGCAGCCCTACCACCCCCGGCACGGCATCCCCTGCAGCGCCCGCCGCCGCGCTCGGGAGATGCGGCCCCGGCCCCGCGCCGCCCCCCGGCCCCGCGCACCGCCGGTCTGCCCACGGCCACGGCCATCGCGGAGCGGTGTCTGCGCTGCGCTGCCGCCTCTGCGCTGCCTGCTAGCACTGCAACATGGCCACCCGGCGGGGAGGGCCCATGCGCAATGCAAAGGGGCCGGGCGGCGAGGCGGGACCCCCCCGGCCCTCCCCCGGGGCCGCCGGCGCCGCCCCGCCGCTCGGGGAGCCCCGAAAGCCGGCGGGAGCCCCGGGGGGCTGCAGGCAGTGCCCAGCGGTAACCCCCCGCTCATCCCTCTGCTGCCCACGCCCCGCCGCGGTGCCCGTCCCCTTCACCCCGAAGGGTCTCTCTCGCCCCGCAGATGAACGCACAGACACATCTGCTCCAGAGACCCTTGCAAAGAGATGGCCAAGCAAGCGCTCAGCATGATCCTCCTCCCAGCAGCTGGGTGAAGAAGGAGCGCAGAGGTATTTCTAACAAGGAGGGACACAGGAGCCCTTAACTCCCTTGTATAACAAGGCAGAGGACAAAACCCGGCACCTCATTCCCCTTGTTTCTCCGAGCATTTCTCGTCTGTCAAACACACAGACACTGCTGTTTAACAAACTTGGTATACCAAGCAGCAGCCACGGAGGCCAGCTGCTCTGCCATGTTGCAGCGTATCGTCACAGTTGATACAGCCACAATACACAGCGTCACCACACCACTTGAGAGGGCTTCAAGCATCTGCCCTTTTTGTTCTGCAGCCCAGCCTTGTATACCCCCCATGGTTGATGTTCTGCTCCCTCGGGATTGGTCAGTGCCCCTGGGCACCCCATGGCTGTCACCTTCAACAATGTTCACCTGTGCTGCACAGCTGTGGCCCATTGGGGATGAGGCTCCGCTGCAGCCCCACTCCCAATGACCACAAACTGAGTGCCCACACTCCCACTCCACTAAACGACTTCCAGGGCTAAAGACAAGCATAGCTGGCTCCTTGCCACTCCAGCTGACAAACACTTAACACTCTGGTGTTAAGCATGATATCCCTTTATCTAAAAAGGGGGTACTCTTAGGGCTAAGCTAAACATGTCTGTTTGCCAATCTTGGACCAAGGTAGTGATAAAGAAAGGGCCCTACACTGCTTTGTGAGACATAAAACCCCAAAGGGCTACAGAAGACGAGACCGTATTTTCTGCACGCATGAAGGATAGATACACTGAATTATGGACACACCAGAGCCCAACCCCCATGTAAGAAAATCCATAGAATCCCAAAGAAAAAGCCAGCAGAATAAAAACTGAGAGCACGAGTAAATGACCCCAGGGAGCAGTAAGCAAATAGAGCTCCACAGTACACTCACCATTTCTAGTCCCTTCGATGTCAAGCTTGTACCTTTTCCCTCCAAAGCCATTTCTGCATGGCTACAGAGTAGCACATCACTGTTTGAAGAGGGCTACGGAGTCCAGGTTTCTCCTTCCTGCAGCTTTTATGATTGTGCTTTGAAGAACTCAGGAGCCGATCTTGCAGAGTGGTCACCCACACCATCTCCTGCACACCCAGCCTGACCCAGAACCACTGGAAGTGCACTACCCTGCTCCCCACCCAGCAGCTGAGGACCTGCACCTGGGCAGAGCCCTCAGCCGGGCACTGGTGCAGCCCCCACCAGCAAAGCAGCAACACCAACAGACATGCAAGGCTGTCTATCAGGAACATTTGGCAAGCATAGCTGACGCAGCGCTTTCATCACCCTAACATGTTAGGTGTTAACGCCAAGATCCGAGGGAGGCTTCAGCATTAGCCTCATTATTGCTCTTGTAGCAAATTCCTCCTGCACGCACAGCTCCGGCTGAGGAGGTGCTGAGCCAGCCCGCGCCGGGAAACGCGCCCGGACCAGTGCAGCCTCTAGTGGAAACCTGGTGATCCTATCTCAAGAGCTGCCCTTGTGGCACCTGTGGGTGAGGCAGACAGAGCTTCTCCTCGTCTGGATTAGAGATGCATGATACTCCGACATCAGCATAACTCAACCAACGTGAAAATCTCCTGTGCTCACAAAACCTTGATGTGACTCACCCCGTCCTTCCTTGGCCTGGAGCTGGGAGAGCTGTGGCCGCATTTCCTCCACAATACTCATGCATACACATCTTCATGGGTATGGCCATCCGTGCTAAAAGAGCAGGGAGAGAAAAACATCAGCACAAAGAAATGTTCTGCCAGATCTTCCCAGAGCTCAGCTAGCGCAGCTCTTTGTAATTACTACTGTTCAGCACCTTGTTCCTCAAAATTTCGTACCTGTAGCTAACAAATCAACACCCGGCTGGCAAAGGGAATTGCCAGCCCCTCATTCCAGAGACCCTACGGGAACTGTTTCCTTGTTTCCAAAGGGAATTGCCAGCCCCTCAATCCAGAGGCCCCACGGGAGCTGTTTCCTTGTTTCCAAAGGGAATTGCCAGCCCCTCAATTCAGAGACCCTACAGGAACTGTTTCAATGTTCCCAAAGATGTTAGGCAACATTTTGCAAAGCCACAATACAGAGACTATCACCACACCATTTCAAAAGGCTTCAACCCATACAAAGTAACACCACACCACATCCAAAGGCTTCAAGCATCAGTCTATCTGGTTCTTTAGCCCAGCCTTTTATACCCTCACGGTTGATGGGTATAAAAGGTATATACCTATATGCCCTGTGTTCCCTCTGGTGATTGATCAGTGCCCCCGGGCACTCCCTGGCTGTCACCTTCAACAATGTTCACCTGCTTCTCACAGCTGTGACCCATTGGGGATGAGGCTCGGCTGCAGCCCCACTCTCAATGACCACACAGTTTGCCACTGTTTTTTATTTGAATGTTTTATCTTTGCAATCTACCCTCCGTTCTTATTTGTGATCACAGTTACAACCATTACGCTCCATTCATTTCCTCTCAGTCGCTTCTGCTGAGGGCATGCTGCTAACAAATGCTGTTGTGACTGCAATCCAGGGCTCATCAGAAGAGGAGGGAGAAATGCATTCATGGTGTGGAGAACAGCACCAAAGGAATGTGCCAAGTGATAAAATACTAACATGAGCCTTACCCTCTCCACAGCACCTGCACCCTATCCAGATGAACATGGCTGATGGGATGTAGCTTGTACACAGCATTTATTGCAATCTGTGTCCGTGGTTTGTGGGGGCTGCACACACTTCTGGGTTTGCAGCAGGCTGCAGGATATTCCAGCTGCTTACATGACAGGCAGCTAAAAATATTTATGGATAGCCGGGAGCCTGCAGCAGAGATGGCTTCTGAAGTGTGACTTAGGGCCTGATCCAGACCTCTTTAAAGCCAGGGAGCCTACACCGAGCTCAGTCTCTCCATTCTCTGACTGCAAGACAGAAAATCCAGCACACCTTCTCTCCCACGCTTTTACCCACTATTCAGTCCCCAAACTGCTTGGGGCAGGGACTGTCATTTGTGCACAGGACACAGGGGCACTGATTTTACCCATCCCTCTCTGTTATGTACACACTTGTGGTATCAGCATGGGCAGTACAGAACAAAGTGAGATCCCCACGACAGTACAACGTGTGTCCAACCTCTCTCAGCCACGCAACAAGTACAGAGATGAGATGTGGTGAGATAGGATTTGACTGCAGACACTCGTGGTATTTGTGTGTGGTTGTTGTACAAGCGTATGATCACACACGCTTGCAATAACAGCTACCCCACAGCACATTTGTGAATCTTTATTGCCAGTTTTCCTAAGTTCTCCACTGCAGAGCAGTTCAGGCTGCGAGGCACCTCTGGTGTTTAGATATTTCATGGAGCACTGAATGTCCCTGAGGATGGAGACTGACCCTTTCCAGCCAACCTCTTCCCATTGCTGACCATCCTCACTGTAAAATAGTTTTTCCTCGCACACAAATGGAAATTCCCGCATTTCAATTTGTGCCTACCATGTCCTGTCCGTTCGCTGACACAATGACCGATAAGCCGCTCTTTGGTCTCACGGCCCGCCAGCAAAGGACCCTCGCACTTCTCAGCTCCTCCCGCCCCTTAGCCTGCTTCTCTCCTCCGGCGTCACCTCTTCCCAGCGCTGTCACCCCAGCTCGCACCTCTACGGGCCGCCACCCCGGGCAAAGGCGACCGTGGGGTGGCGGCCCGGCCGCGGAGGAGGAGGAGGAGGAGGCGGAGAGGCCCGGCGCGGCGGGAGGCGGGTTTCCCCGCCGCACCTGGGCGCAGCGCCGAGCACCGAGGCACAGCACCGAGCACCGAGAGCCGGCCGGCCCGGAGCATGGCGCGGGAGCTGAGCCAGGAGGCCGTGCTGGACTTCCTCTGGGCGGCCGGGGGGCGAGCCCCCAACACGGCGCTGCTCCGCCACTTCCAGCGCTTCCTCCGCGACCCGGCGCTGACGGAGCAGCAGCGGCGGGAGCGCCGCGAGTACTTCAAGAGCCTCGTCAACTCCCTGGCCACCGTCCACCCCGCCGCCGCCCCCGGCGCCTCCAAGGACATCGTCCTCCGCCGCAGGTACCGCGACCTCCTCGATGAGGAGCTGCCGCCGCCGGAGGAGCAGCGGGAGCAGGAGGAGGAGAAGAACGAGCCGCAGCCGCCGCCGCCCCGACGCGGCCCCCGCGGGGAGGCGGCGGAGCAGGGGCGGCCCGGCGGGGCGGGGAGCCAGCCGCCCCCGTACCGCAGCCAGCCGCTGTCCTCGGGGCCCTGGGCGCTCCGTCCCGGCGGCACGGCGCGCAGCCGGCCCCCGGCGCTGCCGTCGGGTCCTGGGGCGCTGTCCGCCGCGGTGCCGCCCCGGTCCCTATCGCCGCCGCTGCCACCGGGCCCGGAGATGCCGCCTCCCTACAGGTTGCCTCAGCCCCGATCTCCGCCGCAGCCCGTGACCGAGATGCTCTTGCTGAAGGCCCCACGACCCTCAGCAAGCCCGGAGAGGCGACGCCCCGCCAGACCCATCCCGTCCCCGCTGCTGCCACCGGGCCCCAGGGCGCTGTCCCCGCGCGACCTGCCCCCTTCCCGATCCCTGCCGTTGCTGTCCGCCCCGGAGGTGCTGCCCCTGTCCCGGTCCCTGCAGGCGCTCCCTGCCAGCCCCTCCTCGTCGCCACGGCTTTTGTCAGGCCCCGAGGTGCTCGCTTCCACCAGGCTGCCCCCATCGCAGTCCAGGTCCCTGCAGCAGCTCCCCACCAGGCCATCCCCAGACCTGCCGAGGGGCTCCAGGGGGCTGACCCCCAAGGGACCAACCCAACCTCAAGTCCTGCGACTGCAGCCGTCTCAAAGCCTGACACTGCCGTCAGGCCCTGGGATCCTGCCCCCCACCAGATCCCCCCCACACCAATCCCTGCCACAGTCCGCCACTCTCCCGCCCCCATCCCGCTCCCTGCAGCCACCCCTTGCCGGGTCACTCCCATCCCAATCCTTGCTGCCAGCACAGGGCCCCGCAGTGCCCCAAGGCGCAGAGAGCCAGCCCCCGGTACCGCTGCCTGTTTTCCGGAGCATCAGGTGCCAGCTGGCTCTGTCGGAGGCGCAGGGCATCGCCCCCTCAGCCCACGACGACTGCGGGCGACAGCCCCGCTCCGTGCTCGCCAAGAGCTCCCCCAGGAACGCAGCCAGCCGCGGGCCCTTGGTGCCGCTGGGACAGCGGGAGCACGCCTGGCTAGTGGCAATGTCAGCGGGCTGCTGGGCTCAGGTGCGGGGGCTCTTTCTGGAAGAGCCTGAGCTGGCCCTGCAGAGGGACTTCATATCAGGCTTCACGGTCCTTCACTGGCTGGCCAAGCACGGCGACGGGCCGGGCCTGCAGGAGCTGGCAGCGGCGGCGCGGCGGCTCGGGCTGGCCCTGGACGTGGACGCCCGCTCGGGCTGCGGGTACACGCCGCTGCACCTGGCTGCCATACACGGCCACCAGCTTGTCATCAAGGTGCTGGTGCTGCAGCTGGGCTGCCAGGTGCAGGTGCGGGACGGCAGCGGGCGCCGGCCGTGGGAATACCTGGGCAGCTCCACCTCGGGGGAGGTCTGGCAGCTCCTGGAGGCACCCCGCGGCACCATCATGTTCCCCACGCAGCCCCTGGCCCGCAGCGTGTCCTCGGTCAGCAAGGGCTCGCCGTCCACCGGCAGGGCAGCGCTGCCCGCCTGCCTCAGGGGGCAGCTCGGCCGTGGGGCAGCGTCCCACCAATCCCACCAATCCGGCAGTGACAGCGACTGAGGAGCTCCTGCCATCCCCTGCCAGGGGAGATGGGACATCGGTGGCCACCCTGAGAGAGGAAGCCACGCAGGCAGAACAAAAGCTGTGAAACAGACTGAACCTATTGAAGAATGTACTTTTAAATTATTGCAATGAACTGTTGTCTGAGCCTCTCTGCCTTCCCTCCCGTTTCTTGCCTTTTTTATCAGCAAAGGGATGCAGTAACTCTGCTGGAAGCAGGAAGAACCCTTGGGAGGCAAGTCCTCTGCAGCCCACAGGGCCAGGACCAGCTGCTGGGTGCAGCCACGACCACCAGCATTAGTGGGACCATGGTTTTGGGTGAGGCTCAAATCTGGCCCAGTTAGGGTAGAGCACTTGCTTTTGCTGACAGTGACAGATTGTTGTTAGTCCTGGGGTTTGCAAAACACTTGTTTACACCACCTAAATTCTGGGGAGTAGTAAAACACATCCCTTTTTAATCCCAGCAGATTAAGGATGAGTCCCTCTTTTAAAAATGTAGCTGATCAAGATCCAGCCTTCCAGTGAGCAGGGAAGGGCGTTTCCCAGGCCACCTTGCCCACCATTCCATGCTGAAAGGAATGCAGGGCAGCACCACAGCCCTGCTCCCCTCCACAGCTGCCTGGGGCTGCCCAGCAGTATCCCTGCTGCTCCCTCATTCCTGCACCTCCAGTTGCCCTCCTCACACCACAGGATTAGGAAGTGGTACCTGTGTTGTGGCTAGAGCCCTGTTCCCACGCCCCGGCACGGAAAGCATTCCGGTAGGATTGTGTGTTGGGCAGAAAAGGAGCTGTGCCGTAGTACAGGTCCCACCCTTGCAGAGGGAAGGCAGTTTCATAACCAGAGCTGCATCTTCCCAGAGACACCAGCCCTAAACTGCCTGTTAGGTGTTTATGTGATGGGAGCAGGTGGGACTGGGGGGCCAAGTGCAGTCAAGAGATGTCCAGTGGAGTAATTCCTCAGAGTTTACAAAAAAACAAAGGATTGTGTGGGTCCTATAATGTGCTCTGCTCTCTGCTTCAGCATAAATGATCTTCTAAAGTGTCAAAAATTTCAACAAGTTGATCTTGCACCAAATCTGCCTCTCCTATAGATCCTCTGTGGAGGTGGGAAGAGAGCTTGGTGGGAAGAGGGATCCAGTGCTGCCAGGTAGATGCTGCTGCTGCTGCTGCTGCCGGGTGACCCTGGGTGCAGGACCAGTGAAACTGGGACTGCTGTCTCAGCCTCAGTGGGAGGCTTTGGGGCACAGCAGAGCAGTAGGTGGGAGTGCTCATGCATTTGAGGCATGTGTGTGAATGCCTGCAGTTTCGGGGAGGAACAGGAACGAGGGCAGCAGAACCTGACCCTTGCATCACACGCGTGCCAGGGAATGCCTCGAGTCCTTGCTCAAGCACTAATTGAGGTCTCTGCTTTGCTTGGGGTTTATTTGAGGGAGGAACTTTTTCCTGCACAAGGGAAGCTACTCTGCCTGATTCTTGGGCCACGGAAGGTTGAGGCCTTTTCCCAGCCTGTTTTTCTCCTTTTACAGGGAAAGAGTTCAGTAGACCAAAGCAGTGTCCTGTCAATGATCATTCCTCTCTGAGATGACAACACAGTCTTGAACTCATAAGAAATTCAGCTGTAAAGTGGCCTCTGAGCCACCAGCATGAGAAGATGGAGGGCCCTGCAGGACCCCCACAGAGCAGGAGGAATCCTGGGTAATCCCCCCTCCTCTTCAATCCGGCTGGGGTTTATACTCCAGGTCACACCAACACACAAAGTGGCTGCTGCCTGGTAAATCAATGAAGCCTTTTCCACCACGTTTAGAGCCATTGTCACTACTCACATAATGCACCAAGCTCCCTTGGGAAAGGGATCCTAAAGCCTTCCACAATCCTTGGCTATGAGCTCCTAAAAGCAACCCTGTTGACAGGGGATGTCAGGGATGCCACCAGAGCCCTCCTGTACAGGGAGCTTCTCGGAAGGAACCCCAACTGAAAGAAGTTTGTGAGCTGACTAAAGCTGAGGGGGGAGGGGATATTTTTTTCTGCAAATACAGCTTCCAAAGAACAAGGTTTTCCCTTTTGTATCTTCCATGCTGTCACCTTAGGATTCTCATCTTACAGCCTTTCCCTGACCTTTCTCTGACGCAAACCAAAGTGGTGCTTTTTTTCCCTGCACACTTTTCAGCCCTCGCCTTCACCTTCTTCAGAGCCCTTTTCTCTCCCCAGCAGTTTTGTCAGACTGCTGAACTAAATAAGTTGTGACCTAATTTTGTGATCACTGTTTGCTTGCCTGTTGAGATGACACAGATAAGCTGTCTCCAATTTTTAAATTACAGAGCAACTGTCGGGAAGCTCAAAACTTTCCATTCTGGATTCAGTGTGCATTCACTCTGGTTTATCACCTCAGTGGTATTAGGACTGCTTACACTCCTAATACTGCACAGCTCCTACACCACACAGTTATTTGGGGGAATAACCACTCTTTCAACTCCCAGAAAGCCTCATCCTCCCAAGTTTTCTGCTGGTGAAATAAGCAGTGGACAGGATGAAACCCATCTCCAGCCCATGGTGGGAGGCGGGGTTCCCTCAGCCGCGCCTGGAGGAATCACACTGCTGCCTTGGTGTGTCACAGATCCAGTCAGCCAGGAGCAAGCTGGATACACACACACATGCAGCCTGAGCATCTCCATTTCCAAGTCCTCCTGATCTCCTTGCTACTTACTTGTCAGCCTGCCTGGCCCCTTCCACACCTGTGCACGCTGCTGTTTCCTCATTGCAGCTGGACGTGGCTCCTTGCCTCACACCCAGCCCAGGCATCCGACTTTGCACCGCCCTGAAACACAGGACAGGCTGTGGATTAGTGCACAGCAGGACTCTGCCCTCTCCTCTCATTGCATCTAAAACACACCTCCCACTTGGCGCCGGCTGCTGGTAAAGTCCACCCCTCTTCTCTGTCACGCTTATCTCCCATCAGCTGCTTTGTACTCCAAAGCCCACGTCCTGCAGAGGAGGAGGGTGTTCCCGTGCCTCGGCCTTTGCCCAGCACAGGCTGTCAAACCTGAGCCTTGCCAGGGCCTGGCAAAGGCAACCCCTTCACACCCACTTGTCCCATGGCCGAAAGCAGGCACACGGCACGGCACGGCACAGAGGGATGTTCAGCTGGATCCACGCCTCTGGACCAGAACCGAAGGCTGGAGCAATGGTGGGAGTCCAGCTCAAACAGCCCAAGAGGCTTTTGTGCAATGAGAAAAGTGTTCCTGGGCAAGGCAGGTGAGCAAGAGCACAGAAGACTGCAAACCGAAGCTAATGGCCATAGGACCCTGTATATCACAGCACTTTATGAAGCAGAGACAAATTGAAGTTGAATAATTGAAAAAAACCACAATTGGACAGTCCATCACACAAAATACACTTTTTTCCCTACTATGAAAAATGTCATTTTGAATTAAATAGTTTGTATACAACTCCACAGTGAGAAGAAAGTCTTGCACACTATCAGCAAGTGATGAAACAATTGCAAATGCTACTAAATCCTGTTAAAGCTAGAATTTCTCATCACTACATTTACTACAAGTAGCACCAGATGTAGGTTAGCAGAGTGGGGTTTAGAACAAGAACCTCCCCACACCCCTTCACAACTAACAGTACAGCCTAAATTGCCCCAGTAAATGAGAACTGTTAGCCTTTCAGGGAAAAACAAATATTGTCTTTGGAAACTCAGTCACACTGGAAAGCTCTAAAAGGAGGATTCTTAGTTTAGTTAAATTAATACCCCTCATCCCCATCAAGAGTCTATTTAAGCACAGAAAATGTGTTTTACCATTAATTAAAAGAAATATATTCTAGGATACCAAGAAAAGCTTGGCACAGAGGCACTATTGTGTTAAATACCTAGCTGAGCACACAGTGCAACACTTGTCTGTGAAGACACAGATGGGTGATCTTGTGGAGGTTGGTTTTCTCCTTAGAGCTGTTAATTTGATCTGGTGGAGCAAACTTTTTGGATGGTTCAAATAAGCCTAAGGCTTGTGGTATTTTAAATCTGGACAGGATTTCAGCAAAGGCACTTAAGCTCCTCATACCTATTAGGACTTCCTTACAGCACAAGCTGTCATAAAATAAAAGCAACCCAAAATCTGCTTGTGAATTATATCTTTACACTGCTCTTAACATTTTTTAGCTCCAGTGGTACTGGAGGAAAGCACAAAACTGCTCATGGCAGATGGGTCTGATAAAGATTTTGGGTGCTTTTGCGACTATGTGACAGTGTTTCATAGGCAGCCATGTGCTCAAAAGCCACAAGCTATTTAAAATTAATTGTTTAACAAGTCCTAGTTTCTGCTGTGAAGGAAAGGCCCTTCAAAACTATTGGCAAGGTCTTCCACACAAGCAGGTCTGGCCTCAGTTTGCATTTCTAATGCTGCCATGGCAAGGAAGGACCAAAATCCTTCAGGATGTGTCCCAGCAGCTTCCCTCTTGCTGAGGGGCCTCTGTAAAGAGAGCTCTTGGTTTAAATATTTTCTTTTCGCCTTCCTGAGTCACAGCTTGAGAGTGAAGGAATGTTCTGAAGAATTTGATACCAGAAGAGGTATTTTATAGACTTCAATGAAGCCCAGGATATTTCAGTGGAAGTGGGAATCAGAAGAATTTGAATTGGTGCGTGTTGCAGACCTGGAGCCCCATGGTAATTCCACAGGGAACAAATAGCTTTGCACGGCCAGGCACAGGACAGGCGTTACTGCAGGTTGTCCAAAGTCCACGTGGGAGGTGCGTGCCATTGGTAAATAGCAGAGAACGTGTCAGGGAAATGGGAAGGGCTTGAGTCTCACTTTGAGAGAGGACAAGAGGTACTTGCCAGGCCTTAGTGGGGAGTGTTGTTGCTACAGGGATGCAGAGCTGTGCTCCTCCATCCACAAACACTGCACCCTCCTTATCTCCCCAGTGCTTCTCACACTGCCTGGTGATGGCATCTAAAGTGACCCTAGAACAAAACAGGCAGCTGATAAGGAGGGCAGCTGATAAGGATGAGGGCAGGGTTTGTCCTCAGAGCCAGGCTGTTTGCAAGTGGCCAGGGAAGGCAGTGGGGCCAAGGGAGAAGCAGATGCTGCTGCTCACTTGCAGCCTGCAGGACTGTGCCGAGCTTGGGGACAGCAGCAGCTCCTCCCCTGCCCCACTGCTGGCTTCCACTCCTGCAGCTCTGCTCTCCCTGTGACTTCACCCAAGGGAAAGCCTGCCTGTCTCTGTGGATATTGTTTCATATCCCTGCCCGGCCATGCCAGTGCCTCTGGTTCAGCCCACGTAGGCAGGCTGGGGAACCAAGGTGGGACTCTGTGCTCCCACCCTGGTTTGACCCCCCAAGCTGCTCTACCTCCTGTGTCTGAGCCAGGCTGGGTCCCTTACCAGCCTCTGTGCTTGTGCCAAGTGCCATCAAGTCACACCGAAGGCAGGAAGACCTCTGCTGGGCACGTGCTGAATATTACTGAAGAGTGTAAGATGCAAACACTGGAAGGGGATTAACTCTTACATAAGAAAATGTGTGTAGAACAGTCCAGTGCATTAAGAATAATCCTGTTCTTTTCCTTCCTTGTGTTCAAATACTTAACCTGAGTTTCCAGATCTGCTTGAGTCATATCATCAGTGGCAAGGAATGTAAAGCCTGACTCTTGTTTTAACATACTTTCTGCTGGAGGTTTATAATCCACAAGGCTGT